AAAGAGACAAAACTGGCATTGCCTTAATACTAAATAACAGGCTGTACTACTCAAAATAAATCTGATGAGTAAAGTGAAAAATATTCTAAATTATTATTGGTAGCTGTACATCAACAAAACATTTCATAAGAGGTTACATCTTATTTATTTATTTATACAAGTGTAATCTACAGCCTCTGGGGCAATTCCATTAACATAGAACAGCTAAAATACATCTGCCATACAAAGGTAAAGTGTTTTTCACTCCACCTTTCTTGATTACAGTACATTGCCAGATTGCAGAATTTGATTGCCCATAACATCCACCACAATTGATTTTGCAAACTTAAGGCTTATGGTCTACCATGTCTATGTTGATCTTGTAGTACACATAAGGATAATAATCAGACTGCCCAAAACCCAAGCCAGGTATATCCACACTCTGCAAGGAGAATAGTTCTCATTAATACTTCCTATTAACTACCTTTAACTCAGGGAGATGTGATGAGTTGCACTGATACTCACATCATGGGCCACACCACCCTGCTGTGTGCTGCCATCCAAATGACCGTAGAGTTGGTGAAGAATGTCCCGCAGCCGTTTCGTATTCTTCTTGTTGGGATGCAAAAGCATTGCTTGGAAGTTGACAGGCAGGCCATACCTGTTCAGATTTTAATCACATAGCATGATGAACTATGTTCACCTTGAGAAGAAAAACCATAAGGAAACCTTACCTTAACACAGATTCTACAAAGACACGAAGAGCTTTAACATGGATCCAGGCACAGAAACACTCGCTGAAGTTGACTTTGAGCCAGCGTACCAGGGGTCCCTATATTTAGAATTAGCAATAATAGTTGTATCACAATCAAACCTAAAGGCAAGTTGAATTTTTACCTTATAAAAGAAATGACACTTACAAATTGCTTTTTCTTGTCGGTGACAAGTTTGGTAATTTCATTTTTGCCTGCGGCCAACTCCTCCTCATTGTACTTGAACTCTCGTACATTAAATCTACAGAAGTAAAATATATGATCAGTTACCTCATCAATTGATTCAATAGAGGCTACAAGTAGGTTGGTTACTCACTTCTTTTCTCGAGCATGAAGTTTAAATTCATCTTCCACCTTCTTGAACAGGGTAACAGTAAACAGACCATAGTCTTGGTCTTGGAATATCAGCTGGGAAGAACGAGGCACAATCATGTCTGTTATCTTTTCATAGTTAGCCCACCAGTCATTAATACTTTGCCTGGAAAATGATTGAACACGTTTTCTCATCTCCTGTCGTGCAATAACCATAACAAAAAAATAAGTATAATCAGAGCACAACACACTTACTTGGGCACAACCACAAGGAGGGTATTAAGGTATTCAGAATCTAAGATGAAGTGCTCCTTCTTCACGAGGTCTGCCAAGTTCCTTGTAAGAAGGCTTCCTCTGTAAAATTAATCAGTGATAGAATAATTGTAAAGTAGAACATACAACGATTATGATTAGTGGTAAGTTAAAAAAATGCAACAGCTTACGTTTGCTTCTTTTCCATATTTTGGAGACTACTCTTCAAATTGTTGTAGGTAGACGACTTAGTCTTCAAGTCGGCATCAATTTGGCCAACTTGTTTACTGATGATATCAGCAATGTTCCGCAGAGACTGCTTGATGGGGTACTTAGCCATGTCCCATTGGAAGCGGGTGATGTAATTTGAAAGGTCACCTGGTACAACAGTGCATGCATTAGCAATATCCTTTTACAAAGGAACAGAATCAGAAAGCTCACCAGTTCCTACTGGATACCAAAAAGTTCACATGCAATATATTTCTGAGACACTTCACACAAAATTTCACATTCCACAAAAATATAAGGACACACCATAAAATAATAATTAAAGGCAAAATTAGCTGTCTTATTTCAGAGAATAATTAACTTCGGGTTATTAAGAATAACCAATTTGGAAATAGAGAAGACAACATAGTAGAATTATTAAGAGAGTAGATAACTTTAAAATTTTAAGTTTCAAGTTAATGATAATTGACATGTGTGATTTCAGTCCATCAGACTTAAGTCTAAGAAGCCATACATGAAAGATACACTAGACACAGCACATAAACTTTGCGCAGAGCAAAAGCTAACCCAATGCAAGACATCCCAAAAGTGATACATCTCTCAATTGGATCACATAATCTTGTTCATGAAATGTTTCAAACACATAACATGGTACCAATAATAAGTGAATGTAATAGTCACAGAACAAAAAAAAAATGAAAAAGGCAAACCAACATAAAAAAGGAAACAGTGTAATACCACACACATACCTTTCTCACTTAAAAATGATTTTATAAAATGCATTTCATTATACTTATAATTATGGTAGGAAGAAAGTAAAAGATTTGGAGAGGTAAAGGAAGACTAGGATGTTAGGAGGAGGTGAAAGGAAAGAGAGGGTGGAGAGAATGTGAAAAGTCAAAGCAATAACTACACACTTACACTAAACTGTTTTGAACTTGTTGTTCAACACACTATAAACGCATATAGACAATCTCAAAGTAATTTTTTTTCGTTCTTAACATTGAATGCTTACACTAGGTCAAAAGGCTTCAGTAACAGTAGACTTTAAATGTAAAAAAATTACAAAGGAAAATCAGTTCTCCTCATGAACTGACACTTTTCCCCCCAAGACTTCACAGGGACTCGTAAAAAAAATTTACTTTGAGAGTAAGTTTGGACCTATTTGAAGATATATATAGCACAAAAGTAGGGTACATGAGAACATTTTTAGAAGACTCTGCACTTTCCTTCCTCATTCCACATAACAATTACTGGTTTCTTTAAAATTTATGAGGGTGAATCTGGGCCTACATACACTGTATATCACCATGAATGGTTGCCTTGTGGTTCAGATGACTTATTACCTCATTGTAAAGTAATGTACCCTCACTGAAGATCTCGCCAGCAGAGCGCAATCAGCAGTCAGCCCACTCAACATGACGTCTGCAATTTGTACATGAGCAAGGCAAAAATGACATGGTAGCAACCTGCAGCTTTAGGGACAGCCCGAGCAGCTCTGCCCTGCTTTTCAGCAACACCCAATAGCTCACAGCAAAACACGGCACAGCAAGGATAAGAGAATAAAATTCAAAATATTGTGTTGTCCTAGGTATTCCCATTTTTAATATAAAAAACAAGTAACTACAAAAATCATTCCAGTTTCAGAGGTCTCTGAGAAACAAAAGTCTGATTCCTTCAGAATATTTTAACCATCCACACAATTAGATAAATTATCCAAAAATCATCAATATTACATTTTTTGCAACTTCCACAATAGAGTTTTTAAGTGCTGTAGTAATCAATTCACAAGATATTGGTCAAACTGACAGAGCACTGTAAATGGCCAACACAAAACAGGTAGCCAACACAGTGTGGGGTGCTCAAAACTCAACATGGCAGCAGCTACATGCAGATGCAATATCTGAATGCCCATCCAGAGTCCACAGCTGCTGAGAGCAAGGCAGACCTGGGCACAGCTTAAAATAGTTTTAATATGCTGTATTAAATTGTTCATGCACACTTTTGGAGGCAAAATTACGCAAATTAGCTATTAAAGTAGAAAGGAATAGGGTTCTCTGCTGTGGATCAGTTCTATTCACTATTTGTAGAAATATTAAAATAAGTCATCAAATGAAGCTAAGTTTGGAATAATAGGGAAATGGACGTAAACATACTGGTTACAGTCTGCAAATACATGAGAGGAACAAACTGACCCGTGAGATCAAAAATTATTTTTTTTAGAAGTCCGGTATGGGTAGAAAACATGCGGTCCCGCTTTGCAGCCCACAAATATCATGCACCATCAGCATCTTGTAATAATGAGGGTATGATATTGGAACTGCCTTCCATTCGTATGCCAGCGGTAAGTTTATCTCAATTAGGAAGCATCTCCCTTCATGCAACGAGGTGCTTCTGATTGGTAATAATTGCAATATTTGCATGCTAGCCATTATTGTGACAAAAACAAAAAATTGTCAGTCAATTACAAGTGAAATATAACATGTATCATTGTCAAGTATTATCTTTATGAGAATAAAATGAAAAGAGGAGGCTTGAGTATTAAGTTCAAAAAGTAATTCCAAGAAAGGAAAGACTGGAATACACATTTTACCAATCTATTTTGGTTGAACACAATAGAAAAAGGCTGAAATACTGTAAATTTATACAATGAGGACAAAAACAGCCTTTTTTCAAAGTCAATATGATAAAACTTTCCAAAACTTTCCACATGAAGTAAGGGGATTTCAAGATGGGATATAATTGAGAGATACAAGAGAACTTTCAAAGGCCTGATAAACAGGTTTTTAAATGCACCTCTAGTAGTTTTGGAAACTTTCTATTTGCCAGTCAAAGCCAGATGGTCTTGTAGACAAACCAACAAAAAGCAAGCCTAGATACCCGAAATATCCTTTGACCCCCTTGCTGTGCCGTGCAGAGTAAAATCCAACGCTGCTGCAGCACAAAACAGTTCACATTAGGACTGGAGTCCCACAATGAGCCATATCTAGGTATATGCAAATAGAAAACTTATGACTTTCCTGTTAATTTTTATTAGTGAAGCATAATAATATTTCAAGAAAAAGCTCACATTAGTTAAAATTTAGATAGCAAATGAAGATTTGTTTGACATGAGTATCAAGCACAATTGATATTAATGTTTGCCACATGCTATGACTTGAACATTAGCATTTTAGGGATATCTTTCCAGCTTGACTCATTTAAAGAGCTCCAGCCAAGACATTTTGTTGCCATTTTACGATCAAACAATCCAAAACATACGTTCCAACATGCTATTTCGATAAGACCCACCATCTTGAGCTCTCAGGAAACTTGCAGTGGTCAACTTAGCACTATCTGGAAATAAAAAACAGGCCAAAGGCTCGGTGACAGATTTTGACACCAAGTTGTTTCATATTTCTTACAGTTCCAAACAAAGCAAAAAAAAAAATTAAAAAAAAATAGATACCAATAAAGTGCTACTAAAAACAAATTATTTTAACTAAAATTTAAGCTTTACAATCAAAAACTGAATAAGCTCTTTTGGTTCCTGCACTCTTAAAAAATGAAAATAGCTGTCTGGTAAACACTAGATCCACTTATGAGGAACCAAAATTGCATTGTATTTGGGGCTAATATTTTAATAAAGATAAAGTAAGCATGAGGTCAAAGTTGAGATTAAAAAAAAAAGAAGAAACACACTCTAAGGGAGTTAGAGGAAAAAGACAAAAAGACAGAAAATAGTTGTGTTAATTATCAAGGGTAAATAGTGTAAATTACGGCAATGGGGGTTTAGGTGCTTCTCTTTCAATGCTCCTGTCAGGTTAATGAGCATACTGAAAATAGATACAGAGTAGTGAGAAGTAGTTAAAAGTTAAAAACTTTGAAACAAGATCCTACTTGGAGTATTTTGACGGAAAATACTTCAGTTTCACTGCTGTTAGTAACACACCTCGAGTCGAGTTAGTATTTTGTCAGACTTTGACCCATACCCATACTAAATCATCGCTAACCTAAAGTAAGTACTGTCTGATTAGTGCCAAAATGTGACAAAACATTCTTTTCTTTGGAAGTCCGTTGCTATGGTGAAACATGATCAAATGAAATTTTGAAAGATATAAATGCAGAACCAACATAACACCTAAGTAAATTTTCATTTAAATGAAATGAAGTATGCATATTTTTTTTAGGATAAAATCCACTGTGAAATGGTACTGAATAAATGGGGAGAGGAATAATACTGTAACCAATGCTTTCCTGAAATTAGAACTCTTACCTGGTACCTACAATTCAAATATTCGAATAACTTCCTTGCAAATAAACAAGAAATATTTGGGTCAGTTCAGAGGTGAAGTTAATCAAAGAATTATAAACATTGATATTAATATGTACATCTAAAATATTTACAGCAATCTACATTTACACACAAAAACACACACACACATACACACACACATACAAGACCACTTGACCAGTTGTCAAGAATCTTGATTTTATGATACATGACTGTTGGAATAAAAATTATTAATACAAAGAAGACTAGCTATGAGGATAATAACGTGGCTCTTCTGAGAAAAACATAAATGACTTTTAAGAGAGGAAAATTCTTGTTAGGTGAGACTAACTGAAAGGCCCCATATAGGAAAAGAAACAAACAGAAAAAAAAGACTAAGGAGGTTTCTCAAAAACTCTAATTATATCTGTTAAAGATAAAGTTTGTGATAAAAAATAAAATGATTCGGGGAAACAAGTTATACCGAATGAGAAGAAGGTTAAGAAAAACGTAATGTGTGAGAAATTCAGATGAGAAAAATGTATTGCCATGCATCGCAATTTCAACATACCATTGTTGGCCATCAAATTTTCATGAAGCTTGTCACGTTGGTCCTCAAGAACTTCACCAAGGTAAGCGGCTACTTTGCGGGTCACCGACTCAACAAATCCATCCAGCTTGCCCAAATCATCTGATAGTCCTACGAGCTGATCAAGCGTTCCCACCTACAGGTAAAAGAGACATAATACAGAGCGATAAATGTGATAGATCTGATAAAGTAAAAGGAAAAATTTTGTGTATTTCTTTTGATTTACCAGGGTCACTTAAAACCTTGGTGCCCTTTGAAGTACTTTTCAAAGAATTTCATGAACTAAAGAAATATTTGGACAAAAACTCCAAATTTAAATGAGGATTATTTGTGACATGCAGAGTCTTACCTTCAAATCAGGGATTGCAAATTTGTAGTTTTCCGATAGGTTGTTCTGTTTGCTTGTGAGGTTGTTCATGGCCTCATATGTCTGCTGACATGTTTTCTCCCCGGGTGCAGAGATTAGCCAATATTCCGTCATCTTAATAGATTAGTTCTAAAGAAGTTATACGCCTGAAAGTTTTAGAAATAAAACATAAGCAGCAATTCAAGGTAATCTTAAAGCTAGGTGCACAAAGTATTGATGCAAACTCAAAATCACAGGATATGAATAGAATACATTGGGATGTTTTCAAAAATAGAAACAAGGCTCAAAGGTATAACAAAATATATGAACAGAGTAGATAATAACCCACAAGAATATCCCAAAAGAGAATGTTGACAAGGACAGAGAACAATTTGCTTGACTACCTCACATGACAGCTTGTAAGCACAAGGTAAACACGGAATGTGCATTCTGCTTCAAACATGCAACCGATACTTACACGAAAATTCGTATGTAAGAAGCTTGGAGCACAGGTTAGATTAGCCTGAAATTTAGAGAAAATATCCTAATAGACATTTGATTTTACTCCACACCTTCCACCATAACTTTTCACGTGACTCCCTGGTGACATCTATCGGATGATAGAAACACTGTTTAGGATCGCATCTAACTGGCCGTGGATGGAGATCACGCGACAAATAAATGTCGAAATTTCACCTAACTAAGCGTGTCGGCGCAAGTATGGTATCCAAACCATATAATTAAAACTCACTTTTTCATCTGGAAACACTCATAGTTCTTCGAAAAACTCGTCTGTCAAGAATTCGCGTATATCAAGGCGAGACCTGACAACCCACGGAGATACTGGTTTGGTAGAAATATTAAGTGCGATGGCCACAGAAATCAGCTGATCAGCTAAGCAAATCACAAGTTACTTGTGGGCGAAAAAATTCCCTTCGTCCTTTCAAATCTTAAGTTGAAGGTTGTTCTTTCACACAGTGAATAACCTTTTGAACTGATCAGTCAAGTTTAGAATCTAAACTTTAGATACGTTCTCGTGGGATGGTGGATGGGATCGAGGTTGCCTCTGAATGGAATCTTACGGAACATGTAACGATTGTTCACTGAATGTTATTTCACAAATTAAAGAGTTCAACAGGAATTTTCTCTGAAGATTAAAAAGCAATTGACAAGTGGACACGGTTGCTGTCGACTGTCACCTCTGCACGAACACAATACTGGCTTAAGTACAGGTTCCTTCTCTGGAGGAGCGGGAAAGTTTCACGTTGCATTGGCAGACCTGGAGTAAATGGCGTCTTTCATAAAAGCGAGGCCCGGTGTTTGAATTAATCGAATATGGTTATATTTTCGAATGTGCTCAATTATTGCGCGTTATATTGTTATTTATCTTTGTCCGAGTAACTGACAAAGGTGCACCTCAACGGATAATTGAAGTATAACAATTTGTAAGTAGTGAAATGAGAGGGGTGTTGTTTGTTAGTTGACAGGTTATGTTTTTACTATTGTTATTCACACATGTTAACTTTTGTTATTTGCGAACATTCTTTCATTTTAATTCATCTTCTGTCATGTACCCTAGGTGCTGTTAAATCTATCCTATTGGTGACAACAAGTAACATTCGTCCTTTAATCATGAGTTTCAACCAAACCCCAGGTACCGTATGATTCAGTACATCCAGCGTGTTCCTCAAAGAAATTTTGGTGAGTTATTTCTATACCGTCCTATTACAGTGGATCTCTCTTCCCCCAAAGCAGGAGCTGGCTTTCAGTTGGGTGGTGGAGATGCTCCAAAGCAAGGTAAGAGGTCAACATTGAGATCTAGACTTTGCTGATTTTTCATAGCCCCATTTTCAACTCTGTTTTAATTCTTTCCACAGCTGCTCCCTCCTTTGGCTTAGGTGCAGGTGCAGCTAAACCAACCTTTGGTACCCCTTCAGCGACTAGCGGCTTTGGAGGTGGGTTTAGCTTCGGAGGTGCAGCTGCTCCAGCGTCAACCGCCTTCAGTCTACCTGCTGCAGCAAGTACGCCGTCTTCAGGATTTTCCTTTGGCACCTCAGCAGCTCCTGTTGGAGCAGCCCCTGCAGCTGCTCCTAGTTTTGGAGTTGCTGCAACCTCCCAGGCTCCATCCTTTGGAACTGCTGCCACCTCTCAAGCTCCATCCTTTGGTGCTGCCCCCACTGCTACTTCCCAGGCTCCATCATTTGGATTAGGATCTACTACATCCTTAGGATTCTCACTTGGCTCCACTCCTACTGCAGCTGTCTCTGCAGCAGCACCTACAGCTGGCACTGGATTTACCCTCGGTAGCACTGCAACTTCAGCAGCTCCAAGCGCATTTTCTCTGGGTGGCAATGCAGCTCCTGCTGCAGCTCCCACAGCATCAGCAGCTCCAGCTGCAGCAACAGCAGGCTTCTCATTACCAGTGGCATCATCGGCCCCTTCTGGCGTCAGTGGCTTTGGCTTTGGGACTCCATCATCAACACCAGCTTCAACCGGATTAACACTTGGTTCTGTAGCCACTACCCCTGCTTCAGCTGGGTTTTCATTGGGTAGCACTGCACCTTCAACGTCCACAACTGGGGTTGGACTGCTAGGAGCAACCACTGCAGCAGCAACAGCGACACCACCTGCTTCATCGACTACATCAGCTGTCTCCTTCAATTTCCCTGCGTCATCAGCTACAACAACACCCAGTTTTGGTGCTACATCTGCTGCACCGTCTCTTACATTGTTAGTTTTGCAATAATAATATTTACATTTCTTTTACATTACCTACTTAGAAGCTAACAATATTTTTGATTTAGTAATTTGGGTGGAGCACCAGCAAGCACTGCAACAACCGCTGGAACTACTACTAACACCACACAGCCCTCTCAAAGTGGACCAATAACTTCCCTTAATTTTGTCCAACTTGAAGAAACTATTAATAAGTGGACAATGGACTTAGAGGAGCAAGAAAAGCTATTTATGCTTCAAGCAACGCAGGTTAATGCATGGGATCGCCTCCTTACTTCCAATGGTGAAAAGGTAATTACTTGTACTTTTAAAATAATTGATGTAAAATCATTGTTGCTTGGTATTACACTCAATTTTTTAAAAATGCAGATTGAGGGTTTGAACAGAGCTGTGGAAGCAGTTAAAATGGAACAGCAAAGATTAGACAACGAATTGGAGTTTATTTGCTCACAACAAAGAGAATTAGAGGACTGTTTAGTCCCTCTTGAAAAAGAATTAGCAGGCAATGCTGTTACTGACCCTGAGCGTGAGCATACGTAAGTAAAATCTTGAATGCAAACATTTCCAAATTTTACTATTTAGCCTACGTCAAAGTTATAAAACATTTGCTTTTGTAGATATGAATTGTCTGCTAATATGGATACACAACTAAAACAAATGTCTGAAGACTTGAAAGAAATAATAGAGAATTTGAATGAAAGAAATCGTGCTCAGGACTCTACTGATCCGGTAAGTTAACTAATGTGAATTATGGTAATTTATTGTCAACTCTTTTCTCACTACGTACTTGTTTTTCCAGCTTGTTCAGATTGGACGAATTTTGAATTCCCATATGGACTCTCTGCAGTGGATTGAACACAACACACACACTATTCAAACCCATCTTGATCAAGTTTCGAAGCTTCATGAGTCACACCGACGAGATAATGAAATATCTTTCCATCTCACATATGATTAAAATGTTCCTCCCGTGTCTAATTAAATGGCTAACTATAGGATGAAGTAAACTTTTAAAAAATAAATTATGTGCATACTTGTATCATAGAATGATTTATTACATTACCCAAAATTTATGTACAGTCATCGATATTTCCTTTCATGTCATGCAAATGACTTCATTACTATTTACAGAACCGCTGTTACCAGACAAAATATTCATTTACATTTCAGCTTTGAGATTTAACAGATCAAGATTAAAACTTAAGGCAAAACAACTTTTAGTGCTTCCATAAAATAATTTGAGGCGGTAGATAAAAGATACTACAGAAATTAGTTCATAGCTGGATAGATTGATTTTTCTATTTACGATACCATGACTGTACAGTTGTCATACGTTTCACTTTGCGCTGCAGCTGGAGGATTCCATACATCAAAGCCTCAGCAGTTGGTGGGCATCCTTAACATTCAGAATTGAAAATAGTTAGTACTGTATTAGATTCTTAAGGAGGTTGAAAGTAAATAAATTCTCAACTCACCAGGAACATAAATATCCACAGGGATGATACGATCACAGCCTCTAACAACGGAATAAGAATAATGATAATAGCCACCTCCATTAGCACAGCTTCCCATTGAAATTACCCAACGGGGCTCAGGCATCTATAAAAACATGTATATTTATTTGTTAAAATTATCTTATAATAAAAAGAAAGTTAAATAAAATTGTACTCTAATAGCTGACCTGATCATAAACTCTCCTCAAGGCAGGTGCCATTTTGTTGGTTAAGGTGCCTGCTACAATAATAACATCAGCTTGCCGAGGAGAGGCACGGAAGACAACACCATATCGATCCATGTCATATCGGGGAGCAGCAATGTGCATCATTTCAACGGCACAGCAAGCAAGTCCAAAAGTAAGGGGCCAGAGAGATGTCTAGAAATGCAAAATTAAATTGATAGCCATTTAAATGGAAGCAAAAGTCATTGGGTAGGCATCATGAGTCAGAATGTACCTTACGACCCCAATTCAGTAAGTCATCTAAACGGGCAACTGCATATTCACCCCATGTTTTTTGGTCAGTTCCAAAAGGAGAATATTGCTTCCTCTTGACAACAGCTAAAATGTAATTAAGGCACATCAATATACAAAAGACAATATGCCAAAATTTTAGTTTTAATATAGATTTTAGGTCCATAACTCACCAGTTTCTGGCTGGGCAGATGATGACTGTACTCGCTGGGGAACTACACCAAGGATGCCATTCTGAAGAAAAGCCTGTGCCTTTTGGGCACCAAGCAGCTGCTGCGCAGGTTTTGCTGCAGAGGAAAGTAAAAGCAAACATAACTACACGCATTGGCACTTGACCAAAGGGGCAGCACAAGGGACACTGTACACTTAACAATAGAAAAAAGGATTACACAACAAGAACATTGACCAAAAAAATGTAACAAGGGAATAGTTAGCCAATGATACTTACTAACTTTACATTTTAGGGAAATAAATATCAAAATTATAAGAAAGATATAAACAAGGAGTGTTACATAAAATGTAATGGTTATACAGGGTTAGGATTTTAACGGCCCTCTTTATAAGAACGAAAACTAAAACCAAATTAACTCAAAAAATTAAATACTACATAGGCCTTGATCCTTAAAGTGAGAAACGTTTAAAATATGGTACGTCAAGGAGTAAGATGCGATTCAACATTTACCAAAACAGAAGGGCATAACCTAAGACGCATTCAAAACTACAAACGGAGGAGGAAAGGATTATCAGGTGACATTTTACCTTGAGATGCGAGAGAGCGCAACATTTTTCAACGTCAGTTGTGGCGACGCGTCCAGACGAGTTCGGATCAAATACCGTTCGAATAAAGTGTAAATTGTTCCAGAGAAAGAGCGAAACGGACGTCTACGCCGTCTCGTCTGCTCGCTGGTCGCCTTTCAGCTGTTTCCTTTTTGCGTTTGCTGACGTTCGTGTTTTGTTCCTTTGCCGGCAACTTTTGAACTCGGGTCCCACCAAAGTTTTAGTTGTAGGCAAAGACACCTTTCGTGTAGTATACTTATATAGGCGCAACTCAGAAAAATTACTGCACCTCTGGAGGAAGAAGAGAAGTTAGAGGGGCATGCCAGTAGGTCTTGAGAAAGGGACGACATCTTTCCTGGGTGGGGGTTGAGGTAGGCTAGGCAGGCAGACCCGTCAGCCTCCGGAGCGCAGCTGGTTGCCTACCCACGGTCCGTTAGGCGCTGAAGGACCCAAGACTCTCAGGTAGGTGCGGAAGTGCAGTAGGGCCAAAACACGATGCAGACCTGATTTCAAGGAATGTATTTTTTTGTGTGTAGGAAATGCAATAACGATACGAGCGCCGTCCGCTCACGGAGCGCTCAGCAGCCTAACCGCGTTGTTCTGCGAGTGAATCGCTATCTCAGTGTCTCGTATACTCCTGTTTGCCGAGCACTAAGCTCTGTCACCACGCTCCGGCCTAGGTGGGCCCCGCCACCCGCAGCGCAGAGAGCAGGTGGCGGAGATCACTTTCGGTCCAGATGACGATAACGGACAGCGTCACGTGCAGCATCCCCCATTTTTTTTCTAAACGTTTGTGTCGATTACATAAATGGCTTACTTTGTTGCAGACACGGCGCGGCCTACAAAAACGCGTTGTTTTCCCTCCTGGCGGGCGGGAAAAGCCCCCCCCCCCCTCCACGGCCCTCGGGGCCACCTCTACTCCGAGTCGCCCCGCGCGTACACAATCTCTCGCTCTTTCTCTGATAAGGTAAAAACGAGACCAGGCTGGAGAGTCAGCCGCCATAGGCAGGCGGGGGCGCTGGCGGCGGTGACAAAGCCTCAGCGAAAATAACACGAGGCGAGTCGGACGACGGCTTCCTTCAGTCCGTCGGGTCGGAGGTGGAGGGGCAGGCTCTCGGTGCTCGCCGGTGGTGCTCGACAGCACGACAAGAAACGCGCGCGACCTGGTCGTCTTGGCCGTCAACGACGCCGCCGCCGTCCTCGCGACGAGGAGGATGAGCCGCCGGATGGTCGGCGACGACGTTCTCTCGGTAGTGTTTGCGGACCGCCCGGCAGGCCGAGACTTTCCAGAGCGACCGGCGGCATCACCGCCCCGCTGAGGGGCGCGCGCACGCTCGCGCCCGCACGTCCGCACGTCGGTCCGGCGCTCACGCCCGCACGTCCGCACGCGGCGCGCACGCAGGACGGCGACATGGACAGGTACGTCAGGGTGAGCTTGGGGTAGGCTGGAGTAGCTGGCGGGGAGGGTGTGGAAGAAGAGAGCGGAGGGGGCAACTCTATAGCGATGATGTCAACCTTGAATGGGTCCGTTCGGACGCCCACTCTGAGGTCAATATGGGAGGCGAGACCCGAATATTACTTCGTGCCTCCCCCCCCCCCTTTCCCCCCTTTCCCTCTCTCTTTCTTGTCCTGACTGAAAGCTCACCGATCGCCTCGAGGATCGTCGTCTCCCTCGCTCACATTGCATCGATACGCTCTACGAGAGCAGACGATCGCTCTCGTGTTCCCAGCCGCCCGCCCCCGCGTCCGGGACGTTCGATGAACTTTGGCGTTAGCGGTTCAGCGCGCCTGTGCCCCGAGCACCACCACCGTCTGCCCACGACCAAGTTAGAGATAGCCTGCGGAGCAGGGGCGGTCCCTGGGGATGCACCTCACTCACTCCTGGGGTGATGAGAGCCCCC